TTTAATAGAAATTTTTTTTCTCAAAGTAGGGGGATTAATATTGGGATTTTAACTTAAAAAATATAAATTTATTTAACAGGATTAAAATTATTTTTATTTTTATTTCTATAATAATTATGATAATATATTATAAAACACATAAAATTAATCATGAATACCTAAAGATGTAGAAATAAGAAATCTCCATTGAGGGAATTGCATTGGTATGGTACTTTGAAACTAATGGTTAGTGGTTTCATCTAAGGATTAATAATAATCATTATTAACAATTCAATTTCTTTTATTTATTAGATAATACAAAATTAATAACCATTAGTTCTAAACTACTATAGTAATTAAATCTAAAAACTTGCACACATAGCCACAAGCCTTCCATTATTTATTAATGTTAAGCCCTAGGTTATCGCTATGCGCAGTTGGTTTGTATTGTATTTTTTAATAATTATTCAATATGATAATATTGATTTATAATTAAAATTAATTTTTAATTAGTGAATATAAAAGTCATTTTGAACACATTAATTTATTATAAACAAATATTAGACTTCCCTCAATCTAAAGCCAGAGATATCTTCTTTTATAAATTTGAGATGTATGAATCCTCTCTTAACTCACCTATTACTCTTATGCGACTTGTGAGACACCTAATAATTGTATTACTCATAATCCCTTAAAGTGATTGTTTTTTATTTCATCAAAGTACACCAGTTCTCGCTAATAATAATGATGTTTTCCAATTAAAAGATCATTTAGATTCACATCATAATTGTGAAGCTACTAGTGACATAATGTAGAGTCCTCCTGACAAGTCAAGCTAATGTACTCACTTATTTTGAATTACCCACAAGTGATACATAATTTCATAAGAAGAAGTCTTATCACTTAGTAAAGTATCACGCATGATAGTTTTTACATTATTAATATCCCATCAAACTGACATATATGATTAATGGATAATTTAAAAATGTTGTTATCATATTATATAGTCCTCACACAACAATTTTCTATTGTTTTAAAGATAATATTGCAATACTAAATATTACGGGTGTTTGCAGTGTGCATTGGATTAGATTTTAATATTTTTAAAGTGAAACTAATTTAATTAACTAGTAAAATTTTTAATCCAATCCAATCCATCATTATATTATAACCAAACTAATCCAATTTAAATCAGATTTGTGTAATTTGATTAGATTGATTAATTTTAATACTATTTAAAATATATTTGATAGAAAAAATCTAAATATCAAATTATAGAAAACATAATTATAAAACACATTAACATCATAAATAAAAAATGATAATATCAATAAAACAACCAAACATATAAGCTCCAATTGTTGCTGCTTAAGATGGTAAAAAGAGTTTTTGTTTATATAAAGAATGATTTAGAGTTATACTATTTATTAATTAAGTTAATTAAATTCTATTGTAAAATTATAGAATAGAATAAGAAAAGGATAGCCACTGCAATTAATATTATAATATAACAATTTAAAAAAAATTATATTATAGAAATAAGAAAAATGTAACAAGAAAGGAAATTTTCAAAATACAATTTATTAATTATATTTTTATTTTATCAGAAAATTCAAAAAATATTTACCAAAAAAATTAAAAATTTATATTATTTGATTAAATTATTTTCTAATTGAACAAGTTGATTAGTTTGAATGTAAAATTATAAACTAAATTAATTATATTAATTTTAAAATTTTATAATATAA